GTGAGCTAGACGTGGGTGACATGACAGCCCATTAAAAAAGATATATATATATATATATATATACATATATATATATATGTGTGTGTGTGTGTGTGTGTGTGTGTGTGTGTGATAGTTCTGTAGACATAGATAGCCTGAACGACTCACTCTGGTTATTGACCTGAAGAGTGATTGAAACTGGGACTAGAAGCCAGTATGAAGGGAGGGGGTTGATGGGACACACTGTGGACTTCGGAGGCTCTTGTCAAAGGGAAGAGGAAGGCATGCTCCCAGGACACAAAACATGATGCAACTGAGGAGTACCTATGTCTAAGACAGCCCTGTGGGTCCTTGTTCCAGAGAGCGTCCCATGAAGACCTCTGGCCCGGCCCGGTGTGTGGGGCGGCGGGGGAAGGGGGGGTCCAGGCCAAAGGGATAGAGCAGGGAGGGGAGATTGCCTCTGCTGCTACCTCTGTTCGGGTCTCCACTGTTGCCGCCCAGTCACTTCCAGATGCTGCACCTGTCTCTCTGCGCCAGTGAGGTGCCAGCTGCTCAAGACAAGAATGACCTCGACAGGGAAGGAAACTGAGAGAGTTGAGAGTTGAGCATCGCTTAAGAAGGCAGCCCTTGAAGCAGTGCCTGGGAGTAACCATGGTGAACTCTGCTGAGTTGGCTCACACACTGGTTGTCACTAGAAGTCTCTGGGAGGCACGGATCGGGTGTGGCAAGAGGGGGAGGTGATAGGGGGGATAATGGCAGGGCACCCACAAGCAAGTCTCCAGGCTGTTGTCAAGGAGGAGGCAGAATCTTGGGGCAGGAGATATAGGATCGTTGACAGATACAGAGGATTCTGACACTTGAAACATATAGCTTGATTTTTTTTTTCTTCCTACAAACATAAGGTCCCTGGTGGCATCATGGTAGACGTTACACATGGCCTTCAGGCAGGGCAACAAATACTATCAGCACCCTGGAGAAGGATGGATGGCAGAAGTAAATCATCCTTCAGAGAGAGACTGGTGAGATCAAATCTGGTTTCTGGGCTAATGTGTTAGGCTGCTGCTTCCTGCCCTTCTCTGACTATAGCTGGGGACTTAGGGAGCACCCTTTGCTAGTATCTGAGCCTGGAAGCAGGTAATGTTGACTTGGGACCATGCATTTATCAGAACCCCCTTCCCTTTTTGCTTCTAAATTTGTGCCCTTACTCCCAGTCCCCACAGCCTAAAGTCTGCCCTGGGTCCCTGGTACCTGGAATTAGACACACAACTCAAGGCTAGAAACATGATGTTCTCATTGGGATTGGAAGTGGTATTCATATCTCCTGTGACTCCATCCCTACCCACTGCTACAGATCATGGGTCATTCAGGAAGGGAGCTGGCTGCTGTAAATCATTGCTAGGATATTTACCCAGAACAAAACACAGGAAAATTACCAAGAAAAGTGTCCCACAGGGCCAGGGTGGAGGCGGTTCCCAGCACGTCCTGGACATGTACACTTTGTCCCCAATGCTTCCAGGCAGCACATAGCCCTGAGGAGCCAGCTGAAAGATTCCCATTGTGCTGGATAGCTGCCCAGTCAGTGAGCCTCAATCTTACCCACACTCAATGGGTCCCTGCCTTCACACTATGAATCAGGTCTGTGTGTGTGTGTGTGTGTGTGTGTGTGTGTGTGTGTGTTTTAAATAGATTTTTAAGGTTTTAAATTTTGTATAGGGGTGGGATGGATGAGAGGTACATGAGCTAATAACAGCACGTGTGCTCGCGTGCGCACACACACACACACGCACACACGCACACACAGAGAGAGAGAGAGAGAGAGAGGGAGAGGGAGAGAGGGAGAGAGGGAGGGAGAGAGAGAGAGAGAGAGAGAGAGAGAGAGAGAGAGAGAGGAGTGAAGGTCAGAGGACAATTTGCAGGAATAGATTCTTGCAGAACACTGAAATCAGCTTGTTAGGTTGACAGCCTTTACCCATTGAGCTCTCTTGCTGGCCCTGGGCCTGGCCTTTTATGTAAGGTTTAGCAAGACTAGCTTGCTTGGTTAGTTGTTATAAGGCTCACTCTGTATCAGGGAGTGGAGGCTGGTTTTGCTATGATCTAGAACATTCCAGTCTTAAACAGAGTACACTTCAGCCCCTGGACCCTAGCCTTTACTAAAGCCCCTAGCTGATAAGGCAAGGGTCTTTAAGCAAAGCTAGGGCAGAATGGGATGGATGCCCTCTGGTAAGTATGTTGCTGTTTCCCAGAGGGACAATCTGGGGCCCAGAATTCCCATTTGTCCTTTGGGCAGCCTCCGCCAGGAGCTGTCAGCATGGTAGAACCATCTTGAGTTCCAAAATTGGGACAGTGACCTAAACGCCAAGGTCTGAGGAACACAGTTTCCCACTCGACTGTGTCTGAGGCTGGGGTTGCCTGGGGAACTGTCCTTCATTTGGGATTTGAGCTGAGATTTGGAGGCTGATGGGGACTTGGAGCTTGGATGAGGTTTAGTTTCTCACTTGGGATTGGCTGCAGTTCTAGGATAAGAGGCCAAGAGCCCAAAGGAGTCAGGGATAGCCTGCCCCCTGCTGACTGAAGTGCAAAACTGCAGAGCTGCTGCTGCTCAAGGTCACACAAAATGGATACCAGTGAGAAAACTTGATTCTTGCCACCTGTCTGAACAGAAAGCAACTTAAGCCAAAAGCCCATCTCTGGGCAACCTTTGTCACATTTCAAGTGACATGAAATGAGGACGAGAATTTCCAAAGAGTCCCTGTCTCTCAGCAATCCAACCTTCTCTTTTGCTTCTCCTGGGAGGCATCTGTAGCCAGCATCACATGAAAGGAGGGAGGAAGAGGCGCTGGGTGCTTAAGTGTTTAAACGATTTGTCTAAGAGGCAAGAGGCCTGTGATGGTGACATGCCTTTAATCCCAGCACAAAGGCAGGCAGATCTTTGAGTTTGAGGCCAGCCTGCTCTACAGAGTAAGTTTCAGGTCAGCCAGGGCTAGACACATAAACATACACACACACACACACACACACACACACACACACACACACACACGTCTCAAAAAACCAAGACCTAGGAAAAAAGGCAAGAGTGAGATGATAGACAGACAGACAGAGCGCACTCTCATGAGCTCCTGAGCTTCATAGCCTAAGGCAGTAGACACTAGAGGTATAGACCTTAAAGTGGAAGGCCATAGCTGCTGTCCACAGGAGCCCAAAAATAAGCAATAAATTCTATCAGCGCTGGTAAAAAGATCTAGAACTCCCTGGTGGAGCTCAGTACCATTACTGTTGGAATCCCTTGGGCTTAATGTGTCAAAGACACTCACAATTGGCGATCAGGATTTGTCCAATAAAGCAATGAACTACATCATATCTAATATATATTTCAATTCAGAACTTGTCAATTTTCACCCAAATTCAGGACTAAATATTCTTTATGCTCGTAACAATCTTACCTGTATTTTCAAGACCAGTAAGGAAACTATGTACCATCTGCCATAATCTGTAATGAGGCAAATCTGTCTTTAGAGACAACAAAGCAAAACTTTACATTACTTCTCGATGCAGGGAACAGCTCATGCCTAGATCCCAGGAGGCTGAGGCAGGATTGTTACAAGTTTAGGCTAGCATGGGCTACAGCCTAAGACCTTGTCTCAAAAAGCAAGCAAACAAACAAAACAACTACAAAAACCCCACCAACACCAAAGGTCCAAATTTACACTTTTCATGATGCCTTGTGAAATAGCCCCTATTTCCTTCTGTGTCAAAACAAGCACTAATTTTATTGGTATAAAACTAAATAACTCATTAAGATTACTGAGATAGTCAAATTTGACAGGATAAATGTTTAGCTTCTTGGTTCAACATATTAACACAAAAAGTAATCTTCATGCAATACACCCTCTTCAGGACTAAGACCTTGGACATGACACTGAGACACAGACACCACCACCCCAACCACAGAAAACATTTAACATTCAATTTGTAAAGCCTTGAGACATGGCCAATTTGGCTTCTAGAGGATCAGCTATCAGTTTCTTGGGACCTAGGTAGGTAACTCATGTCCCTGTCACTTGGTGCATCTATGTAGACAGGCATCTCTATCCACTGAAGGTAACATCTAGTGAGCTTTCCTTTGATCTCTGGAAAAGATAGTTAAAGTACAGTAGGCTGTCATGCTTACTCATCTAGCTATAGTAATATAAAGAAGTGATACCCCGGCAGACCAGAAATGGTTTCTATCACTGGTATCTTCTGGGAAGAGGTACGATAGGTACCCTTGATCTTATCTACAGCAATACACCATGTTGTTATGGTTCATTTTGTGTGTCCACTTGACTGGGTTATGGAACATTTGGTCAACTGTTATTATGGGTGTTCTCATGAGTATATGTTTTGGCCAAGATTAGCATTTTACTTGGTAAACCGAATAAATCACTTTGACCTGCCTAATGAGGTTAGGCCTTATCTGACCAGTTTAGCTTGAAGGTCGATAACACAAAAGGGCCGGCCTGGGGACCCAGCTCAATGGTAGAATGTTTTTCTAACATGCACAAGGCCCTGGCTTTGCTTCCTTAAAGCGGAAGAGAATTTTTCTTCTGACCTTTGACCTGGCCCATGTCCTGTCTCCTGCTGTCAGCCTCACTCTGAGCTTTTCACGCCTTTTAAGCCCGCTGGCCTTTAGACAAGAACCTGTCTAAAGCACTGGCTGTCCTGGTTCTCAGGCCTCTCAACTTAAGACCTGAACTAAGCCACGTGTTCCTGTGGGTTTCCAGCTTGCTGCCTCAGTCTTCAGATTTGCCTCAATTATCACGTGGACCAAATCTTGTAACACACCTAAGAACCCTTCTCTCACTATTCACCCCACCCCACACTGATTGCTTCTCTGTGCAACCTAATTACTACAAATGTCCAGGACTTCTCCCTAATTTTCAAGGGTCCTGTCAATCTCAATAATATATTTGCCAGCTAAGTGCTAGGACGGCCTAGCAGCCTTACAGGAGAAGACAAATATACAACACAAGACAAACCAGGACAGTCAGACATGAGTTGTCAGCCTTTATTAGTCAAGAGTGAAGCCGGGCCCTAGAGTTTCCTTTAAAAAACAAGCAAACAACAACAACAACAAAACCAACCCAACCTTGTTTACAGCAAATGAGGATTGATTTCTAGTAACTTTTAATTATATATTCAAGACTACAGATCAAGAATTGTTTGCTTCCCAATCATATATTCTTTTGAGACAAAAATACAAGTGTAAAACAGATTAAGATAAGATTCACCCCAATGATTTAAAAAATAATTCCAATTGAGAGACATTTCAAACACCATGTATAGAACTCAGGACCAAAAGATGACCTTAGAATCTTTTTACCTTTGAGGTAGCACAATAATGCTTTAATTGGTTTTTTTTTAAAGAAAATTATTATTACGAGTTAAAAACAAAACAACAAAAAAATGAGGAATCTAATCTTTGCTCAAGGTGGGCTAAATGGTTTTCTGCAAATCCCCCATGAGGTGAGAGACAATTTTCATTCTTTTTTTTTAAATTTTTTTTTTTAATAAAGATAGCCCTGCAAAGTGTAATAGGAAACCCACGGGAAGGCTGCTCCCCATAAAATAGACATCAGAATCATGGAGGAACGTCAGCAGTCAAGACAGGAGAGACAGGAGGTAATTGTAGTGAAAGATCAAAAACTACCCATATCTTGGTGAGATTGGTTTACAAGTGCATTATCAAAAACAAAAATTTCAATATCAATTGACTGAGAAAGATAAAAGATGACATTCATGGGTCCTTTTCTTTCTCTGTGCAAAATGCTTTCATCTTTTTAAAATGAAGACTGTGACACGCCACCAAACACTGTGTGCGTAGGGTGCCGGGACACCAGCAGCACATAGTGGCTCCACCATCATGAGCAGAGATCTGGGCAGTCAGGATGCGTGGAGCCTCTCTGGCTGGAGCGTGGTTTTTCTTGTTTGTTTTTAGTTTTTTTTTTTCTTTTGCCACTTTGCTGCTGAATTTGCTTACCAAAACTGCTCAAAGAAAAGCTCAATGCTTATTTCTGAGACTCTGTATCAGGAACAGATAATTCTTTCAGAAAACTATGAGCTCAAAGGACGAGGACAAATGAGCCTGTCCTGCAGAGAATTCAACCGAGAGAAGAGAGTGAGTGGGCTAAGCTGGGGCCAGAGAGGAAGGGAAATACTGCAGTTGGACCTCAAGCTCTGAGAAACATTCTCTGTCAGAGGGAGGGAAGCCTAAAGCCCAGAAGAGAGGAGTTAGCAGAGGACTCTCTGAGACTCCTCCCAGGAGGCCCAGCCAAATGCTGTAGGAGCTGCCTGGCACAATGGGAGCACTGCAACCGTGAGAAAAACCTGGTGTGTCACCTCTGATTCTGTAAGCTGCAAAAAGACCTGGAACACTGTCAGGGCCTGGCGCTGTGGTGACAGTCACCTCTCATCACCATCCGTGCTCCTGAAGACCGGGTATAACTCTCCCATGCCCGTCACACACGTGCCCGACACAGGGCCTCACTGGAGTGAAGACTCAATCAGTAGCTACAGCAGAACGTGGACTTGATTCAGTCTCTGTAAAAGAGCAGCCATCAGTGAGGCAGGAAGGGTGCCGAGGAGGATCTGAAGCCTAGCCTGGGAAGTGTGAGGATAGGCTAAGGCCGGCCCCTACATCTCGACAGGAGTAACTCTGGCATGAGGTTCACAGCCAGCTCTAACCAATGCTGCACGGAGGGTGGGGGAGGGTTCAGAGTCCTTGTAAGGCCTGGGGCTGGACATTTGGGCTACTCCTGGAGCCCAATGCACCTCTTACCTTTGCAAGAAATCGGGTATTATTGTCAAAGTACAAGATCTGATTTATTTAATAAAGCAATACCTTAGAAAAGGACCTTAGGAAAATTCGAGATCACTATGAGGGTTTTCCAGTGAGAGCTGCCTGCTTCATAGTAGTTACAAATGTTCAGTTCCCAGATCTATAACATAGGCTACGCAGAGCAGTCTGAAGAGCCCTGCTTTCACTTGATGGAACACAAGACAAAGTGACTAATTACCAAAACTGGGGCAGCTCATCTACTTTGAACATTTCTCGGCTACAGTGACGAGGGCAAAAGTCAAGACTATTAGTTAGGAAGGCCTTCACAGTGACTCCACGTTTATACATGATAACCTGTCTTGTTAGGAAGGCCTTCACAGTGACTCCACGTTTATACATGATAACCTGTCTTGTTAGGAAGGCCTTCACAGTGACTCCACGTTTATACATGATAACCTGTCTTGTTGGAAGGCCTTCACAGTAATCCCACGTGTATACATGATAACCTGCCCTCCTGTGGCCATTATAATGCCAGAGACCAAAACCAGAGCCTTACACAAGCTATGTAAGTGCTTTGCCACTGAGCTGCACCCAACCCCTACCCAAATGATACCAAGTTTTGAAAACGGATATTTAGGACAAATGCCTGACACAGTGGACAAACTCCATGTATATGAATACATCCAAGGTGAATTCTCTAAATAGAGAAATAATTTTCTTAAAAAAAAATAGCTTTTCTAAGGGTTTAAAAACTGGTGATCACTTGTCACGCGATGCAGTAACGCCGGAAGGGAAGGGCTCTCTGTGCAGCACATCCTCCTGTTAGCTTCCTGCCATCGGCCAGGGGAAGGGGCATGGCACGGGTCACTCAGGGAAGGACTCAGGTCAGATAAAGCAGTAACACCTCCAGACCCTGGCTCCCTGTATCAGCACCATGCTCTGACCAGCTGAGCTAATCAGCCACCCCTGGCTCCTTAGAAATGGATAGCAATTTGTTTATGTAAACAGCACAGAGGTTAAAAACAAAACAAAAAACTTACTAAAAACAAACAACAAAAACCCTAACCCAGATAACCTTTCCTGGCTACTACTGGCAAGAGTGTTGAATCCAAGTTTCCTGCTAACGTGAGTCTAAGTTACTCAGTCTGCTCATATGGACCTGCTGAGCCTTCAAGACGGCCTTTTTCTGAGCTTGGACACAGCCGTATAGTGTGTAGCTGCCAGCAGATAGTACAGGGCCTCTGGGGCACAGACCTCCAGTATAACTGCTACCACCTTCCACTGTGAGAGTAAAGCAGCAAATGTGAACACATTGTGGACTTTCTCAAAAGACAAATGAGGAGACTGAAGGTTCTACCATTCCCTCCCTTGAGAAAGACTGTGGAGGTGTCTACAGTTATTCAGTGGGTTTCTGCAGACCCTAGACCTTTCAGAAGCAACATTAGCAGCAGGAGAGGAAAGGAGGATGTTTACACTTTGGACTCTGTATCAGGCACTTAAATTACTGGAGAGACATGCCACTCTGAACCAAGTGTGAAACCCGGGTTGGAGGAATCATGACATAAGTGGTGTAATGACGGCGTTCAGAAGCAAAGTGGAGGGTGGGTGTGGGTGGAGCCTCTGTCCATCTTTCAGTGCTGACTTTCAAGATTTCTAAATGCCCTTAACCACAGCAATGGCAGCGGCGGAGACAGCAGCAGGAACGGTTCTGTCGTGTCTGTTTTCTGTGTGTGTTCTTGTGGCTGACTGGAAGGTTTTGGTATCACACTGAGAAGGCTCCGAGATTCACATCTATTGCCCGGGGTCCATCAGATCCAAGTTGGAGCCAAACATCTTCACCAGCTGCTCTTCGTAATGTGAGATGTTCCTCTTCATGATATCCATGCAGGGGCCCAGAAGCCTCTCAAATGCTTGAACATCCATAACTGCATTGTTAAAGAGGTGTGAGAGAAAATGATTTGTTTACATTAACAATTTAAGTAATTTCCTGCATGTAACCCTTTTCCTAACCACACTACTCACTCGTGTTGCAGGAGTGAGTGTTAGAACACCGGGCACAAGGGAAAGGGGAAGGAGAAGGGGAGGGGGAGGGGGAGTCACGAAAACCGTGAATGTAAACAAATCATTTTCTCTCACA